TTTTTTTTTTGGTCTCAGCTTCTACATGGAAAGAATAGTTGTATTTCTCCAGCTTAAAACCATATATCATTTGATTTTCATCAACTAAATACAACATTTTCATTTGATATTTGTTCACCTAAGTTCACAAAAATAAAGTGTACAACTGTTGATTGAAATAGGTAATAATAAATCAGCAGTATTCACAACAGAGGTGACAAAAACATGGCTTCTAAACTTGATGAACATATAAATTAACTTTTGTGAACTTCTTTGGATTCTATTCAAAGCTTATTCAGTGTGTATCTGAGATACAAAAAAATGGAATAATAAAAAAAAAAATGTACCTTACTCTGAACTCGGTTTAATCCTTCTATTCCTACCGTCCCCTACAGGCTCGTGTAACCTATCGCCCGATAAGCTAATCGTCATTTTTGGGGTAGGGCGCAAAACTGTACAGAAATGCTGGCCCTTTCGGATGCAGTAAAACTTAAAACAAAATATGGAAAAAAAAAAGAAAGAAAGAAGAAACACACGGGACGTGTGAACAATGCAGTCTTCATCCCGAGTCCTCCGTGAAAATCTTGAATATAAAATCACGAAAGCGTCTCGAGTACTGCCTGGGGTCCACGGCCGATATCGACGTGGAGTCATAGTGGAAAGACTTATACGCGTGCTCCAGCTTCTTGCTGATGTCATAATCTTGCAAAATGTCGATTATCCCGAATACGAGGATGACATCATAGTACACCCCTGTCGGGTCCCCCACCAGCTGGGGCTCGGCATTGTTTCTTCTTGCTGTTAGCTCGGCTCGTGCGGGCATGTTGCGACCTAACCTAATCGATGCCCACCTGCCGAAAAAAGGTTCGAGTAGTGTTTTTATTTTTTGATGTTTTCTTTTGTTTTTCGTGAAAAAAATAAGACTTGTTTCTTTACCAGTTAGTATCTAAGAGAAGATCAAAACCGGCCGTTGGAGCTCCTTCGCTTGTTTTCGCCACATTTCCTAGTAAAAATTTACTCGTTAGAAAGAAAGTTTTTTTCTTTTTTGTTAGAAACGAAAGGTAGAGTCGTGGATAGACGTGCACCATTAGGTGTTTTTGCTCTGGAAATATTATTATTAGTGTCCGTAGTTAGTGGTTCGCCGGAAGGCGATATTTCTCGGAAGTGAATGCCGACCAAAAGGCTGTAATCCATAATCCGTTCCTGCTCGAGAAAGTCACAGTCACGGTCCACTTGCCTGTAGATTGAACGAAAACACGGATTTGTTTGTTTATTTGTTCGTTTTTGTTTGTTTTCGAATTGTGCTGCAAGTAAATGTATAATGTAAGAGATTGTGAATAATCACCTGCAGAAATCTTGGAACCAAGACTTTTGCAACCGGAAAACGAAGTTCAAATCGAGATCTTTGAGAGTGGTTGTGGGCTCGATTTCGGATTCTGGTTTTACGGTTAGGCGGCCGTGAGAAGAACCCTTCAAGTCGAAATGTCTATGGACAGCAAACTCGGTACAGAACAAATTTCCCATAATGACAAACCGAACCTGCGCATTATCAAATCGGACAAACAACATTTGATCATGTGTCATTGCAAAGGTTTGTGATGCTCAACTCGGATGATTTAAGTTGTATTTTTTTTTTGTCAGTTTTGTACCTTCTTTTGCGCGGGCCCGGTCATCTTCACGCAATGAAGGCCAAAAAACTTTGTAACCAGAGTGTTCTCGTATGACCGAACATGATTGTAATAAGCCTGAAGCATTCTTTTAAGCACCTGCTATGGGATCATGAAGTTGGATGCACTATTAAAGATTCAGATTCAGACTCAGACTCAGACTCAGACTCAGATTCTGATACT